GCATAAGTGACTACTGAAAATATCATGGCTTGGGTTAGGCGTATCTTAATCTTCAAAGGAGACATCTTTGCTCTTCATCACTTGAAAGAGGTCTTTTGCAGCAAAACTGCCCAATGCAATACGTCATCTGATGTCTTAACTGCTGTTTCCATTAGTGTTGATTGTAGAACCAAGTAATATGAAGTCTTTGACAACTTCAATTTTTCTCCATTTATTGTGATGCTGTTTATTGGTCCAATGGTGAGGATTTTTCTTTTCTTTATATTGACGGTAGGTAAGCACAAAGCCTCAGCAACGCATTGGCTATTGAATTCATCGGGATCAAGACCTCATTTTTAGCAAACATAAAACAGACAACATTAGGATTTAGGTTCCCAACCCCTTATCCAAAATCCTTGGGGCCAGATAGGTTTTTAATTTCAGAATTTGAGGGATTTAAAAAAGCAATGTTACATAGACTGTATATTATCCAAACCACCAGCAAGGCCTGGAGCATCCCCCATAATAAAGCACATAAATATTTCTGCAGAAAAACTCTAAGGGACCACAGCTGCAGTCAGTTTTTTCTGTCACATGAACTTGCTGCAAACTTAAAATAAACTTTAGATTTACAGAGCTTTCTAGACTGCAGAACTGCAGACAAGGAGGCACAGACCTGACTTTACAATAATACAAAGTCTGTGGCTGTGCAGGGTTGTAAAGGAAGGTTCTCTGAAGCAGACAACTAGGCCTTGCCACTTGCTTACCTTGATCTCTTGAGCAGGTACCCTACAACTCTTTTGGACTGTTTCTTCCTCTGTAAAATTCTCAACCCAAAGGGGGTTCTTGAGAGAACCATACAGGGTCCTCACAGGGACCACATAAGCACTTTACATAAATCAGGAAATGTGTTTTAATCAAATAATATTCTCCCTTACAGCCCAATTACATGTTTTGTCATAAAGCTACACGAACTTGGGACTAAAGCCTTGACGGCTGTGCTCCTCCCTCATCTACACTCACAGAGAAAGCACTTGCCACTAAGATGACTGGTGCCTGTATGTTTACACTGTTGGCTGTCCAAGGTGCAGCTGGGAAAGAACACACCAAAATACTGTTGCTCTGGCAGTATTTATTTGAAAAATTATTAAACATTCCAGACTTTTCAACTTCTGGTCAATATATGACTATTCAAATAGAACACAGCATACCAGAGAGTTTAATAAAAAGGCTGTTCTAGCTACCCAGTGGTTCTGCAGGAAAAAGACCTGGCAACCTATTCTCCTAAAGACTACAACCAAAAGAACTCTGTGGCTGTTCTACTCTGTCACATGGAGCCACTGTGGGTCAAAATCGACTTGACAGCACACAACAACTCTGAGCATCAATGGCGACTAGAAAGCACTGGCCCCACCCAGGGCCCCTGACAGCCCTGCAGGATTTGTTTCGGGGCAACCAACTCCCCACTAAGTCAGTAAACACCATGTTGGCAATTAAATAAACAAGCAAGTTCTTAACCTGAAGATTCAAATTAAAACATGTTTAGCTTTTCTTAGATCCTTGTAGCATCTTGGCCCTGCAACTGGCAGCCCTGCAACTGGCAGACCTATCCAGGCAGGGTCAACAATGGAAATCAAGAGTTACCTTTGTGTGCTGGGTATGAGTTTTCTTACTGAAAGAAAACAGACAAGTCATTCAATCTCCAGCCCTAGAAGCCCCCAACCAAGTTTCTAGTCTGGTTCTAGCTAACTCGGCACTGTTGGAATATAATGCAAGTCACATGTTATTTTATATTTTCTAGCACCACATTAAAAAATAAGTAAAAATAGGTGAGATTAATAATTTTCTTTAGCGCGATATGTACAAAGTATTATTATTTCAACATGTAATCAATATAAAAAATTATTAATAAGCTCTTAGACACTATTTTTTCATCCTCTCTGAAATCCTGTGTCATTTTACACTTAGAGCACATCTCAATTCAGATAAGTCACATCGTACATACTCAACAGGCATACGTGGCTACTAGTAGCTATTGTATTGCACAACACAGACCTGGGTGCAAGACTCACGTGCTTTCCTTTTCATTTCTACCGAAGTTATACACATACACAGTTTAAAGAGAAATTGTCTCACAAGACTTTTACAAAAACCAGAGTCACTTCCCAATCCCTAGGGCAACCACTTTCCACTCATCACACTACTCTCTTGGTGCTTTCTCCATTTTTTTAAAGCAGCATGCTTGCACTGCAGTAGCCTGGTCTTCTGCCTTTCGGCTTTATCTACAGACTCAGCACTAGGAAAGATTAGGATTTAGGTCTCTCCCCACTTCATAACTGAAAACAAAATTCTTCACAACTGGACCAGTAAGCAACATGATGATAAACGGAGAAAATTCTGAAGTTGTCAAGAATTCCATTTTACTTGGATCCACAACCAACACCCATGGAAGCAGCGGTCAAGAAACCAAATGACATATTGTATTGCGCAAATTTGCTGCAAAAGATCTTTTTAAAGTGTTAAAAAGCAAATATGTCACATTGAAGACTATGATGCACCTGATCCAAACCAGAGTGTTTTCAATCACCTAACATGCATGAGAAAGCTGGACAATCAATAAGGACAACTGAAGTAGTATTGATACCTTTGAATTATGGTGTTGGTGAAGAATATTAAATATACCATGGACTGCCAGAAGAATAAACATATCTGTCTTGGAAAGTACAACCAGAATGTTTCTTAGAAGTGAGGATGGTGAGACTTAGTCTCATATACTTTGAACGTGTCATCAGCCCTGGAGAATGACAACATGCTTGGTAAAGCAGAGGGTCAGCAAAAAAAGAGGAAGACACTCAGTGAAATGGACTGACACAGTGGCTGCAACAATGGGCTCAAAACAGCGACAACTGTGAGGATGGCACAGAACTGGGAAGGGTTTTGTTCTGTTGTACACAGGCTCACTGTTCAACGGCACCTAACAACCACCGCATTCCTCTCTCCATCTCTCTTCCTCCCTTCTCCTTCCTCCCAATTTAACTCTGTCATAATTTGATTAGATCAATACTCGCTGTTTCCAACATGACTGAATAGATGCTACTCATAGCTGAGAGGGGTTTTGTGGTGTAAATCACACTACCTCTTGGCTTTCCCTCTGCTGGCTAAGGAGTCAAGCTTTCTTTGCTCTGTCAAGTCAGTACTCATTCACCTATCTACTTTCTGGGTTCTAAAATGTAATGTCTGTTGTTTCTTATTCCATGCTCTATGTCCCCATAAGTTTTCTCTCGTTAAAAAAAAAAACACCCCCCAAAACCCTTTACTACTATTCTAATGGGCTTTAGAGGCAGGGTAGAGATAAAGAGGTATGTTCAATCCATCATCTTTAACTGGAAGTCTCTCAGGCTGTATTATCTACTCAGCTGCCCACCCACAAAAGGAGCTCAGAAAATCAGTCCCTTCCTATTCTCAAACTGGGGTTTCAGGTAAAAAACCCATTTTAGACAGAAATTAAATGTATATGCCTAGAGTCCTGCAACAGCTTCTTACTTGGTCTCCTTGTCTCCAGTTTTGCTCTACTCTAGCACATAACCTACATTATAGACAGTAGAGTCTTCCAGAAAGGTAAATCTGAACATATTATTACATAACATAGCCTTCACTGGTTTCCTACCAGCCTTAGAACAAAAAGTTCAATCTCCTTAAATGGCTTACAGAGCCCTCCCTGATCTGTTCTCTGCTCCCCAATGGTGACTTGCAACTTTCCCTCTGAATCCCCAGGCTCTAGGCATGCTAACCTTTTCTGTTCCTTGTACTTTCTCACCTCTACATCTTCACATGTGCTCTTTCTTCCTCCTGGCACTCTCCTCTCACCACCTCCTACCATCTCCCTGCCCCCATACAAGCACTCACCCATCTGGCTATCTTCTACTCATGCTTTCAGTTCAGTTAACCTTCTCCTTCACAGGAACCCTATGCTAAGTTAGGGCTCTCAAGGCACCACACACATTTCCCCCATCACAGTGGTCCTCCACTTGACTGTCATCACTTAGTTAATGACTTGCATTCATTTATGTAATGCCCGTTTTACCCAGGAAAAACCTCTGAATGGCAAAGACAGTGTCTATTCTGTTTGCTCCTCTATCCTCAGGGCCTCCCAGAGGCCTGGAACAGAACAAATGCTCTGTGTTTATAGGAATGAATGTGTAACAGAACACAAGATTAAGATGGAAGAGCTTCTGATATAGCTTGGTGAGCTGATCCTTTTTTTTTTCTTTTTGAGAATAATTTGTAAAATTATGTGGCAGAATTTAAGGATGTTGCTCTTGGGGCCATGAGTGCAAAAGAGATTGTTCTAAGGAAAATCTAATAAACCCAGGTTATGTTTTCTTGTGTGCCAAGTTTTTATTTTTATTTTTTTTGAGAGAAGATTTTTATTCATTGGAATTAAATTCATAACTTTATTCATAAAATTAAAATTTAAGATGCAAAGTAAAAAGTTTTGCTCAATGCAGCAGGAACGTTATGGAATGTGGAAGCTTGCTCATGTCCTATCCTTTTTAGGACTAACGTCTCCAGAGGTTCTAGACCCTTGTCTGTGTCACATTCCCATTCATAAATGTACTGCAACTATCTGGTTTCTTTGGGAGGCGCTGAAAAACAAAATAACTTTGCCTAAACCCTGTTGTAAATTTTGTCTGATAGTTTTGCTTCTTTTGGGAAGGCTAGGCTTTATAAAAGAGTAGTGGTGCTGTTCAAACCCACCAGCCACTCCGTGGGAGAAAGATGAGGCAGTCTGCGTCTGTAAAGATTTCAGCCTTGGAAAATGCTGTGGGGCAGTTCTACTCTGTCCTATAGGTTTGCTATGAGTCAGAATTAGCTTGCCAGCAAGACTTGGTTTGGTTTTTTGGTTTATAAGTACAATAGCTTTTGGTTTTACTAGCCATGTAATTGTTGTTTTCTTCCCCAGGTCTCATAGAATGGCTTTTCCCCTCGCTTTCAGAGTAGTGAGAGGAGCCTCTCAATACTCACACTGCCTGTTCCTCCAGCTCCCCTCCAATGCGCTGGGACATGTTCTTCAGCACCCCGATGCTGCCAGAGACCAGCTCCAACTGCTCATCCTGCTGTTCCACAATCAACTGGTGCCAGAGAAAATGGGAAATAAGCAATTAAAATCCATCTTACCTGGTTCCAAGCCCAGCACTCTAGCAGCTGCTAGCTTCTTTGCCAACTTGGGACAATTCACATTCAGAAGCAAAGCCCAGAAATCAAAGGACCACACCGTCGCCTCTAAAAACACACTGCTCAAAAGGCTGGATTGTCAAGCTACTTGTATCTCTTGCTGATCCAACTTGTGGACAGTCAGCGGGACTTGAAACCATCAAGAGAGATTGACCCTTGTTGGCTGAAAGCAGACAATAGCCAAAAGCGCAAGTACAGATGACCACTGAGACGTGGGGGTATCTGGGAAGAGGATGCTGTTGCAAGGATCAGGCTCAATCCACAACAGACTGCCTGGCTTAAATACAAGTCTCTGGAGGTAGGAAAATCATGTACACAAAGTTCTTTCCTCCTTCCTCCAGGACAAACTAGAGGAGGCCTTGGGGTAGTAAGTTACCTCAAGGACAACTAGTGACTGCAAACAAATATTTAGTCTTCGTTGTGCTGCATCTTCCTCACTTTTTGTTTTTTAAAGTTTGGTTAATAACAACGGAAGGAGACAACTGGCTAAGCAAACATGCTAATGGGAAAAGAACACAAAACTTACATATATACATATAAAACAATATTTAAGACTCAATAGTATAAATGAGTAGGTAATACTCAAATCTCCACCTACACCATTACTGGCTTTCTTTTATTAATATAACTGTACATCAAAGGCAGTGATAGACATCATCAACCTCACTTGCCTTCTACCCTTTAACCTCCACAAAAGCAACTGTTTTTATATATAATAATACCACGCATAGTGCCTAAGGCACTTGACTGCTAACCAGAAGGCTGGCGGTTCAAACCCACCAGCCACTCCTCGGAAGGAAGGTTGGGCAATCCTACTTCCGTAGTGATACTGCCTCAGAAACCCAAGGAGGGGTCACTATGAGTCAGGGCCGACTCGACGGCAAGTAACAACAACAACAACAATACTAACAAATAATTTTCAATGAAAAGGGACTCAATCTTTCTGAGTATACCTTTGCTTAAACGAAAACCAAACCAAACCAAACCAAACCAAAAAAAAAAAAAAACACCTGAGTATACAAGTGGAGGCTGGGAAGGTTTTCTTTTTAAACCAATGGTTTTATGTCTCATTTTTGGATGTCTGGTCTGCTTTTCATAAAAGACCTAATCAAGCTCGGTTCTCTTGAAATAGTAATTGGTACTCTAAAGGCTTTAAAACCCTTTATGTATACAATCATTGCATATTCAGATGTAGACTGCTTGAGGAAGAGCTCTTGTCCAACATGGTTATCATTAAGCAACAAAATACCAGGGCTTACAGGGAACTAAGGGAGGTAGCTATCCTGCGTCCCCCTTCCCTGTGCTCAGCCAGCTCTGAGAGAGGGTACCTGTTGCTGTGCTTGCTGCTCCTCAATGAAGTGGGAATTGGCTAACTGCAGCTCTCGATCCAGGCGCCCGTATTTATCTGTTCCAGTGTTCCAGTTCTGGCCACCACTTTCTCCTAGCAGGGCCTGTGTGAGCAGGGGCAACAGGAGTCAGAAGAAACAAATAGTTACCATCTCTAAAAACGTGATGCATCACAGAACAGTGTAAAGAGTTCTGATATCTCTCATCATCTGTTTTCTCCCTGGGTCAGACTTTTATGTAGCACAGGAGCTCCATCACAGTGTGGTATAATTTAAGGAATGCCAGGAAGGGCCCTCCCTGTTGGCCAAGATCTCCCAAAAGGCCTAGCAAATGGGCTTTGTTCCATTAAAATGCAAAAAAACGGCTACATAGCGACCCCTCCTTGGGTTTCTGAGGCGGTATCACTATGGAAGTGGATTGCCCAACCTTTCTTCCAAGAAGTGGGTTTGAACCACCAGCCTTCGGGTTAGTAGTCAAATGCCTTAGGCACTACGCCACCAGAGCTCCCAAAATCAACAAATACTCATCTATATATGGCTTTATAATTTAAAAGCAAGCGGTCTCTTAAATGATTAGTTCTTCCTGGCACCCTTGGAGGGTCACCAGAGACTCATAGGTTCCAGTCGAATGGACTCTGCCATCTACACCAAAATAACCAAACCCACTGCCATCAAGTCAATTCCGACTCATAGTGACCCCCAATGGGTTTCCAGGTGGTAATAGCTGGTGGCTTTGAACCATCAACCTTCTGGTTAGTAGTCAAATTCCTTAAGCACTACATCCTTTTAAATATGACTCAGGGAGTTTGGGAGAGGGAGTTGGGAAGGAGAAAGGAGAGACCCTAGGATAGTAAGAAGGTAGGTCAGAGCTCCTTAAGCACAAAAGGTGCGACAACTGCCTACCTCTGCTCAATATTACCAATGAATAAAACTCAGTGACCTTTAAAAGCCTACAGGGCTTCCCAGATGGGAATTGAGGGTTGTGTCACCAGGCAACTATGATGCTGAGTGCCCTAACCCAGATGACCCAGGCAAGTTCTCCACCAGAGTCCCCAGCTGCCAAATATGAATTCAAAGTTTGAAGCCAGAAATGGGTACTTCTTACATGAAAAGGCCAGCCAGGAATAGCAAGAGCTCAGTTCGGGCAGCTGGTAATAACTGAGATCCCCACAAGCCTTTCTGACTAGTCAAAGTCATTGCCCATGCCAGCCCTCCAGCACAAAGAACCACTAGAAGCTGGCAACTAACAATGGATTCTTTTTCCTTATGGAGTTGCCACATTTTCTTACCAGGAACTTTTCCCCCCTAATACATACCTTTTTTTAAAAAAAAAAAATTTATTTTTAATTTTTGTTGTTGAAAATATACACAGTAAAACATACACCAATTCAACCATTTCTACATGTACAATTCAGTGACACTGGTTACATTCTTTGAGTTATGCAACCACTCACTCGCCTTTTCTCAACTGTTCCTCCCCCGCTACCATAAACTCACTGCCCCCTGAGCTTCCTATCTAACCTTCTGAGTAGCTGTTGTCAGTTTGATCCTGCATCATTTTTTAAAAGAGCAAAATACTCAAGGCAGGCGTTCTTTACTAATTAAGCTACTGTTTCGCTTAAAGAAGACTTTAGGGGACTTTTTAGTTCGAGGTTTAAAGATTATCTCCGGGCAACAGTTTTAGGGTTCATCCAGCCTCCATGGCTCTAAAAGTCTCCTTCCAGGTTTTTTCTTTTTTTAAAATCTCTGGATGGTCGAAAGCCTGACTGACTACTAACAATGCCCCAGGCCCTCTCCATTTCCTCCATACCTACCCTGACCTCCTCAACTGACTTTCAGAGGTAAATCCAGTCACATGGCCAAAGGTCAGGGGCTAAGATCCAGGAACCCCAGGATACACAGCACTACATTCTGGGACAGGCATTAGAAGAAGGGCCAGGAACCTCAGAGCTTCCAGGGGCAAAGGGTTCAGTCTAGTCAAGAGGCTGGGTGGTTAACTGTCTCTGGTGGAAAGCAGACCCAAGGCTTTTTGTGGGTCCCTCCGCCCACAGCTGGTCTTAGGGGCTGTTAAGATTTAAATGATACTGCTCATTCTGATCCAACTCTATGGAGAACACCATGGCTCAGTGCCAAGTTTTTCAGTATCAGAAAAGGGTTAAGTGCATATTATGGTTTGAATTGTTGTTGTTGTTTGCCGTCGAGTCGGCCCTGACTCATAGCGACCCCTCCTTGGGTTTCCGAGGCAGTATCACTACGGAAGTAGGATTGCCCAACCTTCCTTCCGAGGAGTGGCTGGTGGGTTTGAACCGCCAGCCTTCTGGTGAGCGGTCAAGTGCCTTAGCCACTATGCTACCAGAGCTTCTTGGTTTGAATTATATCCCCCAAAATATATGCTGTAAATCCCAACTTTGATCTATACCTGTGGTTATAATCTCATTTGAGAATGGGTTGTCCTTGTTATGTTAATGAGGCAGGATTCATACATGGTGTATCTTGAGTCTATGTTTTTTGAGACAAAAGAGATTAAACAGGTGAGCAGAGAGAGAGGGGATGACTGATGTCAAGACACATGGAGATTTCCAAGGAACCAGGAAGCAGAAGCTGAGGAGACAAGAGCTGACAGACAGAAAGGCTTCCCCTAGAGCCGGTGCTCTGAATTCGGACTTCTAGCCTCCTAGACTGTGACAAAAAAACTTCTGTTTGCTAAAGCCATCCACTCGTGGTTATTTCTGCTATAGCAGCACTAGAGAACTAAGACAGTGCATCATTAGCCTGTGGGCACAGAACTGGGCTCCACTAGGGCCCTGTGCACTGCACAGTCAAGGCTTTTTTTTTTTTTTTAGGCTTACACCTACCTAGATGGGACAAGCTATGAATTAGCTTAGACTTCAAGTCTGACCCCTAACAGTACGTTTTAATGGTAAAGAAGATAGAGGGCAGGCCCAGAGCACCTGTGTGGGGGGTGTCAGAGCGGGAAGCCCTGCCTAAAGCATAAAGTAGCACAGTGCCTGGTGCCAAGCAGGGGAAAGGCAGCAAGGCTGACTCTGCCTGCTGGAGTGTTTGGAGAGCCCTGGCCCTGCTATTCCTTGAAAATCTGACTCTGATATTTCACTCATGGCCTAAAATAAAATTCCAAGCCACAGTTGAAAAGGCAATATATAAATACCCATTTTATTTACATTAGTTCAACTATACTACCTAGAGAATAAAACATCCAAGTTAAGAGTAATATAGGAGGATATGTGTTACCTACCTCATACACTGACACAACTACTTCAGGTACTGTCACTCAACTTGCTCTAAGCTAAAGTGGAAATGAAAACGGGACACCAAAACCAGCCAGCTTGTGGCTATTCACTAGCTTCTCTCAAGAGTTAAGAGTCCAATTCAATGGGCTGGCTAACAGCTTTTCCTAGCTGTCCTGTTCAAAAGAAGAGCAAGGGAAGTAAATAGAAAAAAGAATAAGGACTTGAAAAATAAAATGCAGGGAAGGGAAACAAGAAAACTAAGTTAGGGGATTTTTATAGAGCCCCACCCCCATCTTTAAGATTTTAGAATACTTGTTTTCAAATTTGAGTGAGTCATCAAAAACTCAGATATAAAATAAGGATTTATATTATGAACTGGGAGCTCTGGTGGCGTAGTGCCTAAGGCATTTGACTGCTAACCAGAAGGCTGGCGGTTCAAACCCACCAGCCACTCCTCAGAAGGAAGGTTGGGCAATCTACTTCTGTAGTGATACTGCCTCAGAAACCCAAGGAGGGGTTGCTATGAGTTGGATATGACTCCATGGCAGTGGCTGTATTTATTATGAAGTACTGATTCCTAGCATAGTAAAAATAGTGAGCTGATGTCTCAAGTTAAAAGCCTACTAAATAAAAATAAATAAAATCAAAGGCAACTAAATAGACTAGTGGTAACTTCCTAGAATCTAAACAGAATGAAGTTAATTAACCTAAGTCATTTAAAGCAAATACTACCAATTAACATGAAGTCTTTGAGAAGGTTTGTTATATTCCTAAGTAAAATGGACAGCCACAGAATGTATAAAATGCAATTATGTCATAAGATCATCTAACAGTTCAGCAGCAAGCAAATATACTTAACTCAACCAAAAGAATCTAAAGTAAACCTAAATTCTAGGTGGTAAGTGTCTATTTTTTAAAAAAAAGACTATACTTTAATAGTTGAAAAGGAGTTACTATCATACACTAAAGTGTCTAATTTTTAAGAAGTATTTAAGACAAAGCGAGATTTGAGTTAAAACAAATTTAAGGTCCCTCCAAACTTTTTACAGTAGTCTGGGGCTGTGGGCTTCCATGGTCAGTGAAGGATCCCAAGATGGCCAGGTAAAAACTTGCTCTAAAAGCCACTTTTGGGAAGATCATACCTGAAACCAAAATGCTGGTGCTAACTCCCTGAAATCCTAGAAAGAGATCTCATCTCCAGGTCAGCTATTCCCTGAGACGCCACTAGCTATCCACTGGGCCGACTGCAAGGCCCACGTGGCCAAGTCTGGCTTAGCGAATGACTTTGAAAAGAAGTTTAATGCCCTGAAGGTTCCTATGCCAGAGGATAAATATACTGCCCTGGTGGATGCGGAAGGAAAGAAGATGTGAAGAGTTGTGTTAATTCTCTTCTTTCTCAAAGACCAGGACTGGGGAATATGAGAAATAGCTGGAGAAGAT